TTTCTGACTTGCTACTGACCCTGACAGGTTATTTTTAGTTTTCTAAAGTCCGAACAAGAGTTTGGGTTTTTGCGACATTGTATGTGTCATGTGGTTTGGTTGGTTTCACACTGCCACAGGTAAGTGGACCAAGTTATATACGTGGGTGTTCGTTGTTTAGTCAGAATGGCTGTGACTTTCATATGAGAGCCAAATTTTTTGAACGGTCACTAGCCCATGGGGTCGGCGACATGCGACTCTTCTGCCATCCTGTTGCGGCTCCACAGCAGAATTAGATTTGTAGGTAAAAATAAAAATAATCCTCTAACACAGTTTTAATACTATATGGTCTGAAACGCTGAAGTTAATGTATAACTGCTAATTCACCCTTCAACCCTGAAGGTTGGCGTGCAGACCGCTGGTCACCATAGCAACACAGACAACAATCTCACCTAGCTAGTAGCTAACAAAAGGCAAAGAGAGAGATTTAAGACGAACCCCTGTTCAACAAAACTGTTCTACTTCTGCAGAAAAGTTTCCTGCTGGAGATGTGAGAAAAGCAGCTTTAGACTTTAGACTTTCGTTTATATTGTATTTTTTATCCTATACTAGTTTATTATACACATATTGAGACATATTCACAGCCAAGATGATAAAATGGACATCAAATGTTGTGGCTCCCAAAGTGGTTTGATTTTTGTTGAAAGGACAAAATGGCTCTTCTTAACATTTGGGCTGCTGACCCCTGCACTAGCCTATAAAATCCAGACCTTTCTCTCACATATGCCTTTGATATGTAAGAGTGTGTATTATTCTACCCTTACTTTGCATTAAAACAGATGCACTTAACATACACAGAGATGCGTAACATACCTTAAAATAAAAGCAATAACAATAAACCTTCCTTGATCTCTGCTTCTTTATGAATGAACGTGTTGTCAGTTTAAATTGACCCCAACAAGTTGCTGATGCCTGGCCAAAAACGCATTCAGTGATCCATGTGCTGAAATCAAATGCACTGCTTTGCTACTATTTAACTGCTCATCTGCCATTATTAGTGTTGCAAGTGTCACAGTGGCTTTACACACCCAATTATATGAAGTGACACAGTTGTCCCACAATGTAGGGCTAACAAACAGATAATGACAGTAAGCAGAAAATGCATTCATTAAAACAGTCCAATAATGAATACAGTAACAGTGGCGAGTGCTGTACACTCGAGCTCAAGCTATGTCTGAAATTCTCATCCTGCAGTACAAGCTGTACACCCTGCCGTTATTTAGCAATTTTTCACTTTTCCAGGTGATGATAAAGTCAGCTAGCACTGGTACATCATCACTAAGTGCATCAGAGTGTAAAATGGAACAGCATTTTGATGCGTCAATCTTTAGATTCATCACTTTGTAAAGACAGATGTAATATTAGCTAACTCAGAAGCTATAATGCTAGTGTTGTTAGCATGTACGTTAGCAGTCAGAGAAGAGGTTTTCAAAGCTGGTAGATGAAATAAATGTCAGTCTGCCACCCCGCACTTAATGCAAGTGGTGCCATGAAGTTGTTGGTGGTCCAGAAAAACAAGGCTTGTTTAGTCTTGATCTAAATGCAACACAGGTTTTCACAGTAATAGACATCAGGTAGACACAAATATTCGCCGATCATATGGACAAAAGTGTTGGGACACTTCACTTAATCATTGAATTCAGGTGTTTCATTCAGTCTCACTGCCACAGGTGTTTAAGTCAAGCACCTAGCCATGCAGTCTGCCCTTTGTGAAAGAATAGGTCATCCTAAAGAGCTCACTGAATTCCAGCACGGTGCTGTAATAGGATGCCACCGTTGAAACAAGTCAGTTTGCGGAATTTCTTCCCTCCTAGATATTCCGCGATCAACTGGGAGTGGTATTATTGCAAAGTGGAAGCATTTAGGAACCACAGCATCTCAGCCACAAAGTGCAGTGCACAAAGCAAGCTCCATAAAGGCATGACTGGGTGAGTCTGGTGTGGAAGAACTTGACTGGCCCTCACAGAGCCCTGACCTCAACCCCATCAAACATCTTTGGGATGAACTAGAACGGAGACTGCGAGCCGGGCCCTCTCATCAGTGTCTGACCTCACAAATGCTCTTCTGGAGGAATGGGCAAACATTCCCACAGACTCTCTCCAAAATCTTGGAGTGGAAGCTGTTATAGCTGCAAAGGGAGACCAACTCCATATTAATGCCTATGGATTTAGAATGGGATGTCATAAAAGCTCCTGTAGGTGTCCCAATACTGTTGTCCATATAGTGTAAATCGTTAGTTGCATTATACACATTACACTTTAAAATGCAAGTAAACGTCTATCTACCTGATCAGGTTGGCTAACTATCAGTAGTGCATTAAATAAGCTCGGCAAACAGACTCCGCTAGACGGAGTTGCGAATTCTGACCATCTACCAAACACGTGAAGGCATCATCTTTCTTTCTCAGGCCGCTGAAATAAATCAAGCACCTTTCAACGTCCAACACCTGCACTGGCCCACAACACAGTGGACGGGCTCATCCAGGGAAAATAAATAAATAAATCAATGAATTACACACTGCATGTGTGGGTGTGCATGTAGATGTGCACACATAAGTGCGCTTGGAACAATACACCAGCAGAGAGAGGGAGCGAGGTATTTTACAAGGAAGAGGGTGAAAAAAGACATCTTAGAAAAAAGGGAAAGGGAAGAGAAACAGCACTTTCGTTTTTCTGCTCACAAAAGAAGAAAATGGCAAAATACAACATACATTTATTTTTGTGACTGCTACAAAATTACAGCCCTACATGTGTTTGTCTTAGTCAAGCAGAACAGCCCAGCACCTCTAGAGCTGGGACACATATACACTGCAGTCTTATAGCCCAGCTCAGGCAGTCCTCTGCCCTGTATGAATAAACTAACTGTAAGAAGCTTTTCAGTATTTAACTATATATCAAGAATGACACTATATGTAGATAAAGGTGACAAATGAACAGAAAATTCAAACATAATGTATTGGTGTGTGTGTATTTACACCGATCAGGCGTAACATTATGACCACCTCCTTGTTTCTACGCTCATTGTCCATTTTATCAGCTCCACTTACTATATAGGAGCACTTTGTAGTTCTACAGTTACAGACTGTAGTCCATCTGTTTCTCTGCGTATTTTGTTAGCCACCTTTCACCCTGTTCTTCAGTGGTCAGGACCCCCATGGACCCTCACAGAGCAGGTACTATTTGGGTGGTGGATCATTCTCAGCACTGCAGTAACACTGATGTGTTAGTGTGTGTTGCGCTGGTACAAGTGGATCAGACACAGCAGTGCTGCTGGAGTTTTGGTCGTCCTCTAGTCCTTCATCAGTGCTCACAGGACGCTGTTGGCTGGATATTTTTGGTTGGTGGACTATTCTCAGTCCAGCAGTGACACTGAGGTGTTTAAAAACTCCAGCAGCACTGCTGTGCCTGATCCACTCAGACCAGCGCAACACACACTAACACACCACCACCACGTCAGTGTTACTGCAGTGCTGAGAATGATCCACCACCCAAATAGTACCTGCTCTGTGAGGGTCCATGGGGGTCCTGACCACTGAAGAACAGGGCAAAAGGGGGCTAACAAAGTATGCAGAGAAACAGATGGACTACAGTCTGTAACTGTAGAACTACAAAGTGCTCCTATATAGTAAGTGGAGCTGATAAAATGGACAATGAGCGTAGAAACAAGGAGGTGCTCATAATGTTATGCCTGATCGGTGCATGTATCTAATATAGCCACTGTGTTTAAGTAAACCTTTTTTTTGTAGTGGAACAGTGGCATATTATTCTGGTGGCCTCGTCATTTTAATAAGAGCCATATTTAACTAAAGTAAATCTAAAATGTTTGTATTAGGCAAAATAGTAAAAATAGAAACTGATATATAGGCAATGTATGTCACTTTTGCTTTCCAGCTCTACTAAGATAAAGGTGAGATTATGTAAAGCCCACAGCAGCTACTCTGAGCTCTATGTTGTTTAGTGTCAAAAAGATATCTGTCTCATACGTGCGGGAAGCTGGCTGGTCTCCATGCAAGGCTAATTTGCAGGAGACCGGTTTCCTTTTCACTCCACTCTCTTTTTCCCTGTTAACTCATCACAATCTGATGTTGCTCCTTTAACAATAAACTGGACCAACTCACCCCAGGCTGCAACTCACTGCACAAGAGGTGAGGAAATCAGTCTGTTTGTACGTCGCATTATCTGCATTTATCTGCGTACCAGTATAACAGTAATGACAAAGCTAATACATACATACATACATACATACATACATACATCATCTAAACCGCTTATCCTTCTGGGTCGCGGTGGGGTGCTGGAGCCTTTCCCAGCTGTCATTGGGCGGAAGGCAGGATACACCCTGGACAGGTCGCCAGTCCATCGCAGGGCAGACAGACAGACAAACACATTCACACCTAGGGGCAATTTAGCATGTCCAATTGGCCTGACTGCATGTCTTTGGACTGTGGGAGGAACCCGGAGTACCCGGAGGAAACCCACGCAGACACGGGGAGAACAGGCAAACTCCACCCAGAAATGACCTGGTCACCCAGCCGGGAATCGAACCCAGGCCATTCTTGCTGTGAGGCGACAGCGCTACCCACTGCGCCACCGTGCCGCCCCTATAGACCACCCAATATCCATAATTTAAAGGCATGAAATGGTTCTATATAGAATCATTCCCTTTACTAAAGAGCCATCTTTTTTTTAAGAGTGTAGCATGTCACTGTGCTAGCATAGAGGTGCTAGCTCCTCACACTCTTAATGCCCAGTTAGGTGCCTCTAACTCAGTCTCTGGCCCTGACTGCGGTGCTATTTCATATTTCTTTAAGCTCATCATGTTTCTATTTCAGCATGCTGCTGTGTCAGCAGAAATTTGCCTCACAAATTTCCCTCAGTTACTATTTTTGTGTTAGCATGTATGTGAGCCACTCTCTGTTCCATATAAGCTTGTACCCATGTTAGCACGTAGGTGCTACTTACTGAGCCTCTTGGCAGCCTCCAGGGCTTCGGCAGCGGTGTCCGCCACGAAGAAGCGCTGGACGGTCACGCCGCTGTCCTGCATCAGCTTCTTGCTCTGGTACTCCTGCAGGTTCAGCCATCTTCTGGGGCTCTCCCTCACCACCTGCACATGCACACAACTCCATTACTACAGTATACAGTAAGGATGTAAACCTTTATGATTTCTGTTGTTCGGCTGTCTGTATTACTTTTCAAATACCCTAGAAATAATGTATACTGTTACGAATGAAAAAGGCAATCTGGGAGAATTTATGTTTATTTATTACTTTTAGTTAGCATAAAGATGTGTGTCCATTACACGCTAACCTGTTATCATGAGAAAACTATATACTAAACCTTGGCACTAAATCTCAGAGAAAAACGCTTTATGAAAGCTTGGTTCTTTTCTTTCGCTACGTATATCAAACCTATATGAAACCTGGGTGTCATTTTAGACTTACTACCAATACTACTACCACCACTACCACTACCAATACTACTATTACTACTAGTACCACTACTACTATTACTACTACTCCTACCAATACTACCACCACCACCAATACTACTACTACTAACACCACCACCACCAATACTACTATTACTACTACTACCAATACTGCCACCACTACCAACACTACCACTATTACTACCACCACTACTAATACTAATATTACCACCAATACTACCTTCACTACTAATACTACCAATACTACCACCACCAATAATACTACTGCTACTCCTACCACCAATACTACTACTACTACCACCACCACCAATACTACTATTACTACTACTATCAATACTACTACCACCGCTACTATTCCTACTACTACCACCACTACCAATACTACTACTATTACTACCACCACTACTAATACTAATATTACCACCAATACTACCTTTACTACTAATAATAATACCAATGCTACCACCACCAATACAGCTACTACTACCACCACCACCAATACTACTACTACCAATATTAATACCACTACTACTCCCACCAATACCACTACTAATAATAAGAATAATATTAATAATAACAATAACAACAATAAAAAAAACAAAGATTTTAGCCATAGATATTTGCAAGGATTATGTTGTGATCTATTTAAACACAAGGCATTAATTCAGATTGTAATAGGCCAAATACATACAAAATCATTATTTATTTAATTTAAATTTAATTATTTATTTAAATTTGAGCATAACAGCTTAACAAATGAAATAAAATGCTCGATTTGCAGTTAACTAACTAAAACTATTATCAATACAATCTATAACACCAGTATTAAGAATAATAATTGAAAATCACAATCATACTAATAAGTTACGCACATCGCAATCCAGTATAAGCGTGGACGTATTAACTGTACATGCAGACTGGTGTAAACAAATGTTGCAACTATTCCAAGTTCCAATTAAAGATACATTACACTGTGCCTTTGTTTTATACGACTGACTCCGCCCACAAAATAACAAAGCCGGTAAATGCTACTTTATTCTTACTACTCATCGGAATTTTAAGACAATGAAATTTTGTCAGTAGGGGGCACAGTGCACTCTCTGCTCGACCTCAAGCTTTGCCTACAAGCACAGCCATTGGCTAATACGTACTGTTGTTTTATTGGCCCTACGTAAACATCTGCATGAATAAGGGCGTAGTTTATGGAAATGAAATGTAAATGAGGTAATGGTGGGGTGGTGCTTGATTTCATGCACTGATCAGATGCGGAGTGGTCCGTACGTCATTTAAAGCGGTCAAATCTATGCTTGTTTTTATGCAATTTTCATGAACAAGGACCAATAAATTTTATTCGTTTCACAAACTGCAGTGCACCAAATCTAATTATGCTCCCTTTGTAAAGAAACCTGCAGGTCTTTATGCTTTTATGTACAGACAATATGCTCAGAAAATCATATTGTGAATTTGTCAGTAAAATTTCACAGAAAATTGCATTATTTTTGCACATAAGCGTGTACAGATAAACAAATCACAGTAAATAAAGGTTAGGCTCACAGTCTTTAACTGCAGCAGTGCAGTGGATGCAGCACTTTAGCATTTTGCCAACAACAAAACGCCACCGCTAACTATTTATCACCCCTCCTTACGACCCGCAATTAAACGAGACATTGAGCACTCTTATACGGCTCCATCCTGAGCAATTAAACGGACGAGCCCCCATTATCCTTCAACGAACGGCGAGCCAAAAAGAGCCTTCTGGAATGGGACAGGAGGACGAGGAGCCAGCGGAGAGCCCGGGGCAGTGCGTGCCCTGATGAAGCCACGCTTTAGAACGGCTCTCCGGAGCTGACGCTGTCCGCGCTCCGTGGCCTCCTCGGGGAATAATGAGGCAGCCAGATGGAGTGGAGGGGTAGTAGTGCGCACTCTGAAGTGTGCACTCAGAAGTGTGTGCTCAGCAGCCGAGATGGCCGTTGTCTCCAGCTGTTGCTGCTATTAAAAAGACATTGGAGGGACTGTAGAGAGGAAGAGGGACGCGTCGAGGTGAATTCTCCTCCGGTGTTTTCAGCTCATTATACTGGGAGTGTGAGTTAGTACAAGAGCCAGCAGCAAAACTGAGAACAAAGCTATTATACTGGGGAGAGAGAGAGAGAGAGAGAGAGAGAGAGAGAGAGAGAGAGATAAAGTGTGAAGAAACAGAGAAGAAAGAAGAAAGAAAATAGAGAGACAAATAGAGAAAGAAATAGAGATGGTTGACATTGGGGAAAATTTATGAGGGTTAGAAAGAGTAAAAGTGGACAAGAGAGAGACAGACAGAGGGATATAGAAAAAAGAGAGAGAGAGAGAGAGAGAGAGAGAGAGAGAGAGAGAGAGAGAGAGAGAGAGAAATAAAGACAGAGAGAGAAGATATAAGAAAGAGAGAAAACAGAGAGAGAGACATGACAAAAAAAGGAAGTAGACAAAGAGAAAGAGAGAAAGGTGTTGAGAGGGAAAGAGAGAGAAACAGATGGAGAAAGACAGAGGGGAGAGAGAAGAGAGCATGAGAAAATAGAGAAACAGGAAGAGTGAGAAAGATAGAGAAGAGAGAGAAAAAAGACAAAGAGAGATGAAATGGGGAGGGAGAGAGAGAGAGAGAGAGAGAGAGAGAGAGAGAAGACAGAGAACTGAACAGAGAGAGAAAATAGAGAAACAGAAAGAGAGAAAGAGAGGAGAAAGAAAGAAAACTAAAGTGATACAGAGAGAAGAAACAAAGAGACAGAGAGAATAAAGGGACAAATAAAGAGAGCAGAGACAGAGCAAGGGAGAAAAGAATAAAGAGAGAACAGAGAAAGAAAGAATAGAGACTAATAAGACAGAAGAAAGAACAGACAGAGAGAAGATAGAAGAGAGAGAAAGAGAGAGAAAATAGAGAGACAGAGAGAAGATAGAGAAGAAAGAAGAGAGAAAACAGACGAATACAGAAAGAAAGAGAGAGAGATTGAAAGAAAAAAGTAAAAGAAACTGAAACAGAATGAGAGGGAGTGGGTGGGGGAGAGAGACAAAGAAGGAGAAAAGAGAGCGAGATAAGCAGACGACAGAGAAGAGAAAAGAGAGAAGAGGAAGAAGGCAAAGATAATGACAGAGAGACAGAAATATGTTGGTAGAGATTAATGAGAGTGAGAGAGAGAGAAAGAGAGAGAGAGAGAGAGAGAGAGAGAGAGAGAGATGGGATTTTAAAGTCTCCTCCTGCTTTAATCTATCCTGTCCTGATAAGGCTGCTCTTCTCTCTCTGTTCATCCAGTTATTCCGCACTGTGGCTCGCGATTGTGTTTTAGCCGTGTTGGGCTTCATTCACCCAAACACAAAGCGCAAAAACCCGTCTGACGCTCTTATCGCTCTCCTGACCGTACACACATTCCGCTGGTGCTGCAGCGTCAGGATCTACTTTTGCGGAGATCTCAGGTCGTATCACTGCACTGCAGTGATAATAGACTCTTCCACTCCATCATGTAAGAGCACACAGTACAGACCATCACAGGACGTGGAGACATTTACATAGCTGGCAATAATCTCCTCATCACAGTGGAGTGCTGCGTCTGTACTGTGACCGGGACGGACATTTTTGCTATTTGCTAAGGACTGAAAAGCGCTGCGCTCAACTCAATCTGTCTTCATGCCAAAAATTATATCTTAAATCATTTTTCCCAAGAACATCATTCAATTATTGACTTATTTGACATGTAAATTTGTCTCTTTGGCCACTGCTTTGGCTGCGCTGACCTCTGAAGGGGCCATCCAACACATAGCAGCACTGAACCTCCAAAATGAAGGAAACAAAATAAAAAAATTCCCCCAATGGCTGTAAATAAACACCTGATAGGGAGACTGTATTATTATCTTTACTTTTCTGCTTTTACCGTTTGGGCTAGACTAGCTAGCCAGCTTGCTAACTGTGAGGTTAGCTCCATGGCTAACTGCAGCTGCGCAGTTATTGGCATTTTTGTTGCAGATCAGTGTGAAGCACTACACTGTGATATGTATAATTATCTAGTATATAATTAATACTGTGTTTTACTATGCATGTTAGGCTAGTTAGCCAGCTAACTGTGAGGTTAGCTCCATGGCTAACTGCAGCTGCACACAAGTCACCCCCTCCATGCCAACCATGCCAGTTACTGGCATGTTTTGCTACAGATCAGTGTGTAATCTGATATATAATTCACTGTGTTTTACTGTTCATGGTAGGCAAGTTAGCCAGCTTGCTAAATGCTATGGTAGTAGCTTCCTGGCTAACCACCGCTGTACATGTCATCCCACCGTCACCAACACACACACACACACACACACACTATATCATATACCATGAACACTCAAAGAACCCTTTGCATTATTAAAGCGTTCTTCAGAATGTGCTGTAGATGGTTTGGAAAGGGTTCTATATAGCACCCAAAAGGGTTCTTCTATTGTTACGATGTCAAGCTTGTAATATTAGAAGAACCCTTTTTGGTGCTATATAGAACCCTTTTCAAAAAGGTTCTATAGAGAACTGTCTACAGCACATTCTCCATCAATCTGAAGAACGCTTTCATGATGCAAAGAACCCTTTAATCATGCAAAGGGTTTTTTGAGTGTTCATGGCTCTTTATAGGACCACTTTACTAAAGAACCATCTTTTTAAA